CCTGAGACAGATCAAGGCTGGCAACATCCTCTCCAAGCCAAGCCTGCTGGAGACCTGGTGTCTGAGGATCAGAGTCTGTGGGCAGGACATGTTGTTTGGGCAGCAGCTCTGCTGTCTGCCCTGGGAGATGCTCTTTCATCTCTGCTGATGGGCTTTGCTTTTTCATTTTGTGAGGATGGGGGCACAGGCAGGCACAGGCTGCAGGGTGAGGGTCCTAGGGGCCAGGTGGGTACGAGGTGGGCTTGTTTCCAAGTGGAAGGCAACTGTCCTTTCCTACTCTGTTTTTTTTCACGGGGTGAAAGTTGCTGCATGTGGAGCCTGGTGTCTCCTTGCCTGGCTGTGGGTGCTCCCTCCAGGGATGGGGAGGCAGCTCAGTGCCTCACTGATCCTTCAGCTACAGTCACCCGACAGTGTTGAGTTTAGAAGGATTTTCAAGAGGAAATGGGGCTTTCATAGGAGAAACAACCCAGTTGACTCCAGGACAGGCAACACACCACCTTGCATCAGTGAGAGTAGAGACATGTCCCCAGCAGAGGTCATGACTGGGGCACTTTGGGTGTCTTTATTCAAAATACATGATCCTGGTGCCCACCCAGGATGAGCACGGGGCTGGGAAGATCATGAAGTGGGACAGATCACAGCCTGTTGACTCAAGATCAATGACTGGAGATGTGCTGGGAGCACCAAGAAGGATTGGAGCCTGGATGGGCTGCAGCACCCAGCAGAGCTGCCCCAGACATTGCCCATCCTGGGGGCAATGGGGGTCCAGGGGTGATGGGGTGGGAAGCAGGTCCCGCGGGCAGGGGCTGACGGCAGCTCTGTGCTTCCCTCCCCATGCAGAGGGCGCGGAGAGCGGTCTTGCCCCCCGAGGAGGGCTCGGCTGCAGGACCCCTGCCTCCTTACATGGGCAATAAGGAAGGTATGTCTCAGGGGAGGGGGGCTGCATCGGGTGTCCCCTGCCTTGCATCCCCGTTTTCCTGTGACAGCCCATGCCATGATCATCCACAGACTCATGCCGGCTGAGCCGGGACCCTGGGCCCTGCAGCGGGATGCTCTCCCGCTTCTTCTACAACTCCTCCTCCATGGCCTGCGAAGCCTTCCTCTACGGCGGCTGTCTGGGCAACGGCAACAACTTCTACTCGGAGAAGGAGTGCCTGCAGGCATGCCGGACGGAGGGTGAGTGGAGCCACCAGGAGACATCCTGCTGGAGCACAGGCATGAAAGATGCCTTTGCTGAGGCATCAGAGGGGGTCTGAGAATGGCCTTGAACCCTACGTGTCTGTCATCCACATGAGAGGTGTGGAGACCCTGAGCCTCCTGCCCTCTGAGCAGCCCCCCCTGTACCCACAGCTGCCTGCAGGCTGCCCATCGTCCAGGGTCCCTGCCAGAAGCCTGTGACACGCTGGGCCTTTGACGCCGCTCAGGGAAAGTGCATCACGTTCAACTATGGAGGCTGCAAGGGCAACGGGAACCAGTTCTACTCGGAGAAGGAGTGCAAGGAGTACTGTGGGGCTCCTCTGCTGGCAGGTACCCACACCTTGCCCGCACCACACCGTGCTGTGCCAGGGCAGCAGCCTTCTGTCCTGCCCCAGGCTGGGTCTGAGTGTGCTGTGTCTGCCTGGGGTTGGGACAGACGTCCTGGGTCTGGATAAGTCCGGGATGAGGTTGTCCTGGGTCTGGGATGGCTTTGGGATGGGGCTGTCCTGGGTCTGGATGGGTCAAGGATAGGTCTGTCCTGGACCTGGGATAAGCATGGGATGGGTTTGTTATGGCTCCAGGATGGGTCTGGGGTGGGTTTGTGGTGTGCCTGGGATCAGGAACTCTGACAGACTGAGGGATAAGGTCATTAATCTAGAGGCAGCATCGCAGAGGGGGACTGTATAGCCTGCAGATGTCCTGAGGCCATGAATGAACTTCAAAATGGTCTTCATAAAAGGGAGAATGGCCCCGAGCAGGCTGGGGTGCAGTGGGGAGTGGTGAAGGTGACAGCCTCCGGGCAGGGGATGCCACTGGGGGAAGAGTGGCTGAAAGATTTGGGGGGATGTAGGGAACCTGACATCAAATAAGGACCATGCACCACCTGACAGGCCCTCCAGCTCTAGCCAGCACAGGGGTTTCCTTATTGAACCTCCTTGGGAGGCACAACAGGCACTGTTCAGCCCTTGGCATGGATTAACAAGCAGGTTTTCGGGGTCGTGGTGGGGGAAATCTTCTCACAGAGAAGCTCAGGCATCTTCAACCATAGCTAGTCCTGGACAAGCCAGTTCCCAGAGGGGCAGGAGCTGAGGGTGCACCGTGCCCCCACAGATGGGAAATGGGGCCAGAATAATGTGTCTTAGGGCAGAGTTCATCTTTTATTATCCATGTCATCAATCAAAAGTTCATTAATGCCACCATGGTGGGTGATGGGACACAAAGTGACATCCCAGGACAGCACGGGATGCATCGAGGGTCCAGACCACTTCTCCCACCACAGTCAGCAGGGACAAAGTGGGAAGCATCAGCCATTGGTGTCTATCCATGGGGCGAGGAGGGGGTCTGTGGGTCTGTCTGTCACTCCTTGTGTCTCTTCACTTGCAGAGGATGAGGAGTTTCTGCGTCTGTCAAACTGATGGAACTGGAGGATGAGCTGTCGGCACCCAGCACGGGAGCCCAGCAGGAGGTGCCAGGAGCTGCCAGCGGCGGCACAGGAGATGCCTCCAGCAGTAAATGTCTCTCATGTGACCAACAAGCCCAGTGTCCATCCTTGAGCCGGTGGGGAGCAGGGTGTGGGAGGTCCAGGAGGGCCAGGGGACACCGCAGGGTCCTCGCTGGCTTCGGCTATGGGGTGTCCCCCAGTTTTGCGGGGCTGCTGGGTGCTCCCCATGGAGTCTGTGTCCCTGCCTCAGCTGCTCTCTGCCCATGCTGTGCTGGGGTGACCAACAGGACACCGGAGGGCCCAGGGCGTCCTGCTGGGTGGGGTTCAGGCCCCTATTTCTCACGGGCCCGTGGCAGGCAGCAGGAAGGGGGCAGCAAAGGGGAATAATTGCTGCTGCAGGGAGGTCATACCGGGAAAGGCACGGTGGGACCAGGGGGGCCAGTCATGGGCCAGGGCAGGGATCATGGGGAGGGATGGGGATCATGGGGGTGGTTACAGCAAGAGTATCAGAGGAGACCCTGAGGGGTCACAGGAGGAGACAGTGGGGTTTAGGGGTCATAGGAGTCTGTGGATGGTCACAGCAGGGAATTACAGATGTTACAGTGGGTCACAGGGGGATTATTGGGGGTCACTTGAGGGAATTACGGGGTTGTGAGAGTCACAGGGGAAAAAGGGGGTGTCACAGAAGGGGATTACAAGAGTTGTGGGGATCACAGGGGGCTATAGGGGTCCCAGGAGAGGACTACAGGGATTCGGGAGGGCCTATAGGGGTCCCAGGAAGGGATTACAAGGATGATGGGGGTCACAGGTGAGCTAAGGGGGTCCCAGCAGGGGATCAGAAGTGGTTTGGGGAGGGTACCAGGGGGTCAAGGGATGCTGCGGGGCAGG